CACACACACACACACACACACACACACACACACACACACACACACACTGGTTTTAAGGGAAAAGCTGGCTCAGATGTGGTTAGGATGTACATTGATGGAGGGCAAGCCAAGTCTCTGGGAACACTGTATGCCTTGGCATGCCTCCCCTGACAGATGGGGTAGAGGCGTTACTGCTCAGTTAACTTCTCTAGATTCTTTCCCAGGGCATCAGGGACTCCCGCTGGCCTTGCTTTCCCTTCTTTCAGGCTCCTGTCAGTTGTCCGCAGGTGGAAACTTGTTGGAGTGACCACGGGAGTTTGTGACTAGGCTCCACACCAAGGTGCGGGATTTGTGTGGAGAAAGACGAGCCTCTTCTGGGAGCCCGGGCCCTCTGGTTTCTGTGGGAGGGAGAGGCTGGGCCTCACAGCCCGGACTCTGATCCCTGAAGCCTCAGGAAGAATGGGGCCTGCAGGGTCACACCCTGTGTACCGACTGACCTTGTGAGAGTTCTTCAGCTTGGGTGGGGGGCTGTCCCGGAGCCTCTTCATGGCTTGCACTGGGGAGTCACTGAAGTAGGGTGGCTCTCCATCTACCATCTCAATCACCATGATGCCCAGAGACCAGATATCCACCTGCAGGAGGAGAATGTCCCTGACTTCACTGGCCAGAGTCTGGCCCCTTGGTAGCAACATGCTGCAGGGGGAGGGGAGCAGCTGGTCCCAGGTTTCCTTGGTGAGTCGGCCCCCTTCCTGGTCACCTTCCCTGTGGTCAGTTACCACCTGCGTGAGTGACCACTGACTGCAGGGACACAGCTGTCAGCCACTCTCTTACAAAGGCCACCACACATGGGGAAGCCCGGCCATACCCCAACCTGCCCTTGCGCTTGGGGGAGAGCATTCTGGGGACCAGTTTGTGGCAGCAAAGTCACAGGCCAGAGAAGATCCAACCAAGAGTGGGAAGGGGGCAGTGGACGTTGGGGTAGGGTATTGACTAAGTGGGAACCCGACAACCGGGGCTATTCGGGGTGGGGGGCTCTGGAGGAGACCACAAGTAGAAGAGCTATGTGTCCCCAAGCCTCTTCTGGGAGGGCTGGGTGGTGGAGGGAGCCGTTACCTCAGTCGCATACAGACACCTGCAGATCACTTCGGGAGCCATCCAGTAGGGGGTTCCCACCAGGGACTTCCTCTTAGGGACATCTTTGCTGATCTGTGCACAGAATCCAAAGTCCGAGAGTTTCACCTGGGGTTGGGGTGAGAGGGAGAAAGGGGAGTGATGGTGAACTAGGGAGGAGGAGCCGTGAAGTGGGGTCGTGGGTGCGCCAGGGTGGGAAGGGCCCTACCCTGCCATCGAGGGTCAGCAGTATGGAGTCGCTCTTGATGTCCCGGTGGATGACACCCTGGGCATGCAGGTAAGCCAGGGCCTGCAGCACGGCCTCGCACACGGTGGCAATCTGCTCCTCATTCAGCCTGGACGGGGAAGGCAGAGCCATCAGCAGAAGAGCATGTTAGCTTTGGCGGGGCTGCAGGGAAGACGGGCTGGGCAGAGTAGGTGCCCCTGGTACGGGGCCTCACAGCTCCTGGACGATGTGTGTGGGAGCCCAGTCAGGCCAGAGCCCTGGTGGAAACGGGCCTGGGCCTAGGCTGGAGCCCTCGTGTCTTCCCCACTGCCCTGAGACCCCTGGGTCTGTTAACCCGAACAGATGGGGGTGGGCAGGGTGGCTCGGGACCACGTGCCGGGCACCCCAATCATCCGGGCCTGAGGTTGCCTAACATCCCTGCCAGGGCAGTGGCGGGAGCAGCCAGCGCTGGGTCCCAGCCCTCCCAGCTGCCCACCTGACTTGGGAGATGATGTCCGTGAGGGCCCCGCCCTGCAGGAACTCCATAAGCACCCACAGCTCCTCGCCCACCAGGTAGCTCTTGTACATCTCCACCACGTTGAGGTGCTGGTAGTCCCGCATGATCACCACCTGGGGGCAGGAGGGGACGCCTGAGTGCCGGGCACCCTCCCCACTGCCCCTGCTTGCAGACGTCCAGCCTGCCTCCACCATCACTGCCCGTCCCAAATGCCCCGCCACGCCCTCTCCTCCCACCTCATTAAAGAGCAGCTCCCTGCGCTGCTGCTTCCTGAGGTCCATCATCTTGACGGCCACCTGGCGGCCCGAGTGCTTCTCCCGGGCCAGGCAGACGATGCCCGTGGAGCCCTCGCCAATCTTCGTGTAGCTGTCCAGCAGTAGCCGGGGGTCACCCTGGTCCACCACCATCCTGAGTGCAGCCTTGAACTGCTCGTGTGTCACAACGCCCGTTTCCTCACCAGCCAGGGCACCCTTGGCCACTGCGGGGTCCTGGGGCAGGTGAAGGTTGCTGGTGCTGATCTGGGCATGCCAGGTGCGGGGGGAGCCCGCCGGGGAAGACCGTCCTGGAGGGGGGCCGGCAGCTGGGGCTGTGCGGAGGGACTTCTGGGGGCTGCTGGTATCCGAGGTGGCCAGAGGGCTGAAGGTCCCCACGGGCTGGTCTGAGGGCAAGGACTGGGCCTTGGCCACCAGGCTTGGGGGGAGGTCTTTCTGCAGCGGTCTGAAAGAGGCGTTGGGCTGCAAGGAGAAAGGAAGAAACAGAAAGGGGTTTGGCTGTGGGAGCATTTGGAGTACCCTTCCCAGAGGCAGGGGGTGGCTGCCGTGACCTCTGGACACTGGCAGGGTTGGGCAGAGCCGTGATGGGCATCAGACTCATGTGGGAGCTGCCGCAAGCAAAGATCTTCAAATGGAGCTGAAGCCAAACCATAGCCCTGCTTGAGAAGCCAACCCCCAGCGTCCCAGGTGAGCAGACAAAACAACAGCTCTTTATATCCACACTGTCCTTCCTGCGAAGACAAAGCCGAGTCCCTGGGGTGTCCTGGGCCGGTATTTCTTCCTTGGGTGACTGACAGCCAGACCCCAGGGAGGCCACCAGGAGGCACTCTGGGTCAGAGGCGTTCACGACCGTGGCTACCCTACCCAAGGGCCCATGCGGGCAGAAGAGGCCCTGGGCGTAGGGGCAGGGGCTGCAGCGAGGCAGCTGTGACTGACTCCCAGGACACACGGCTGCCGTCTAATAGTCCCGATTGTTCCTGACAACGGGGAGTCTGCGTGTCTGTGCGGTGAGATTAAGTCCCCAACAGAGGACCACAGAGCCATGTTACCATCTTGGGGGGTCCTCAGGTGTCTCCTGGGCTGGGGATCTGGTGCTACAGAGATCTGGAATCAGGAGGGTAGGTCCAGCCAAACCCAAGCCTTGGGGCCAGGGGTGAGGGGGTTTCCTCAGGGCTCCCCAGAGGAGCTCCTCCACTAGCCACATGGAACTCCTGGCTGATGACCCCCCAAGAAGGAAGAGAAGACAGGGGGCCTATCTTTCTGGTCTCTGGCAGGGAGGGAGGGAGGGAAGGAGGGAGGGAGGGAAATGGAATCGAGCAGCAGGCTGGGCCCCCAGTGAGTCTTGCTCAGGCCCAGCCTTCTGGGCAGCCCCAGCAGGAAAGGGTCCCATCCCTGGGTGTCCCCAAGGAGCTGGGGAAGTGCAGCAGGACCCTTCCCAGGGATTGTGTATGCTTAAAAGGGCCACCTGGAGATGGCCATATGCGGCCTAACGGGGGACACCTGAGGAGCTGCAGAGGAGCCTTCCCGGAACATCTCAGAGCCCATCTCATAGGCGGTTGTCTAGGTGCCCAGAGGGTGCTGGTCTTCATCCTCAAAACTGAATCAGCTTCCAGGGAATCTACTCAAGCACTCAGCTTGGGCTGGGCTGCTTGAATCTGGGCCTTGGGCGCTACCAGGCTCAGCCAGGGCCCTTACAACCTCTTCAGCACCCCTCCCACCTAGACTTCAGGGCTCTCATCCCAGTCCCTGGCCTTGCCTTGTATCAGGCATGTGCACGGTGCCTCTTCTGGCGACAGCCATGCTGTGGGGCTCTGCCACCCCCAGCCCCGCAGGCGCACTGAGTGTGCTCCAGTCTCTGCCAGGCCGTGCCTGACTCGTGCTCAGCCCTCGAGGTGAAGGAGCCAGGTAAACCTCCCGGGACTGCCGTGACTACTCCACCCCCGCCCGGCAAGCACATGTGTGCAGTAAATGGATTGTCCCCGCCAGCACCAGCACCCGACCTCACCCCGCTTTCCCTACTCTGTTGTGGCGGAGCAGTGGGAACTCCAGACTGGGGGGTCAGGACCTGGGTTCCAGTCCTGCTCCGCTCTGACTTGGGATGAATCTTAGGCCATTCCCCCTCTCTGAGCCCCAGTCTCCTCTGTGAAGGCACGGTGATCTGGGGAGCTGGATAAAATGCAGATTCCCTGGCCTTGGTAACGGCTTCAGCAGGTCCCTAGAGCAGGGACTCCGCAGTTTAACAAGGCCCGTGGCTTTGGATGTGAGAGGAACCTTGGCCCACAATTTGAGCAGCTCTGCAATTCCATGGCCTTGGGGAGCCTGTGGGAGGGCTGGGACTCGGGGTGGAGGGAGTACGGCCACCACAAAGGCTGTGAGGCCACAACCAGGAGCAGAAGGACCATGAGATGTCACCCGGTAGCAGCCTCCAAGGCTCTGTGAAAAGGCTGCCCGCTGGCCTGTGAGGCACGGACCTAACACAGAAAATGTGTTCTCTGAGCATCTGTGTGGGGCTGGGCAGAGACTGGGGATCCGAAAAGCTCCTAAAGCTGCTCCTGAGATTGCTCTCACGGCCCCTGACCTCTCTCCACTCTGGATTTCTAAGGAAGGCGGTAAAACCGTTTCCCTCTCCTTCTGGCCTCCCGGCCTCCCGCATGAGCTCTCTGCTCTGAGGATGAGTGGACACGGGAGGGTGGGGACAAGTCAGGCAGAGCGGCTGAGGAGGTGGGTTCGCTTCCCCCCCTGCTGTCGAGGCCCCTGTGGAGACCCTGCCGCAGGTGCTGGCTGAGCTCAGAGGCCGAGGAGGCAGCAGGTGGATGGAAGCAGCAGACGGATCTGGGAGAGGCAGCCAGCTCTGACGTGGCCTGGGACATGGGACATAGGACACGGGGGTGGTCGGGCCAGGATTGGTCTTCACCTCAGCAGGGTCTGGTCCCAAGTGTCCCTTTGTGGCCCTTGCTGCCTGTCTCCACAAGGAGGGAGATTTTACTTAACGTAACCACAAGAAAGGACCAGATGAAACGTGTTAAACCGCTCCAAGAAAGGGAAAGGGGGACAAAAGGTGGAATCAATTGTTAGGGGCTCTGGATTAATTCTGGAGTTACTTGTGTGACTGAGGCCTCTTCTTGCGCAGGAAGCCACTAGAAAGAAGAGTTGTACATGGAGTTACAATGACGCCTCATCTTCCCTTCCCAGGCTAAGAAGACAGGGCCAGGCTCTCCAGCTGTGGGCTCAGGGGGCTGTTCTGTTAGTGCCGCCCAGGCAGAGGCCATTTCATAATATTTAAGAAATACTGGAGCCATTTTATTGAGGGCTTACCACTTTGACAAGGGCCTTAAATGCATTATCTCATTTAATTCTCATAGCCCTGTGGACTGTTTTATTAGCCCATGGGTAATATTATTATCTAAATTGGTAGATGAGGAAACAGGCTCAGAGAGGTTAAGTAACTTGCCTAGAGTCACTAAGCCGTCAGGGACAAGGCCAGACTTCAGCCCTGGTCAGCTTAACCTCTGATCCCTATGCAGTGGTCCTATTGGGGGTCCTTGGCATGTAACCGAGTACATGGTACACAGTAGGTGCTCAACCAAGGTTTGCTGATTGTTGAGGTCTTTCTGACGAGGCCTTTCTGCCGCTAGGTGGGACCACTTCTAAATCTCCCAAGCTCCTAACTGTCTTACCTCTTTGGCCTCTCTGTCCCCACTTGAGGTCTCCCGTTGCTCTTTAGCCAAAGCGAGTGAGTGCAGGCCAAGCTGCCTGGGGCTGAGTACAAGAGCTCTAGGGTCACAGACCCTCCTGCAGCCACACCTGGCACGCTGTGGCTATTGGTGGCCTGCCCTCCCAGGGCACTAGTGCATGGACTGCTGCTTTAGGAGTTGCTGTGAGTGTCCAGGGCCAACCTCTGGGATGTGCTGAGTGCGGAGGGCTGGCTGCTGGCTTGGTCTGGGTTCCCAGGGCCCAGGCCTTGGGGGAGGAGGAGGAAACTGAATGCTTCCCAACCATATGGTAATTTGTTGAGAGCAGTGGTTCTCAACTGGGGGTGATTTTTTTTTTCCCTCAAGGAACATTTGGCAATGTCTGGAGGGATCTGGGGTTGTCCCCTCTGAGGGGTGCTACTAGCATCTAGTGCATAGAGGCCAGAGATGCTTCTAAATATCCTTCAACACCCAGAAGAGCCCCTGCAATACTGATCCAAACGTCAATAGTACAGGGTTGAGAAGCCCTGGCCCAGAGCGGTTGTGGGGCGGTCTCGGCCCCGCCTTTTGGAGGCCTGGTTTGAGAACATCCACCTAGAAAGGTGTGCCCAGGGGGCCAAGAAGGAAACCACTCCCCTGGATTTGGAACTGTGGTGTTTCTGAGCCCCGGATGAGCACCACCTGCTTCCTCAGGGGCAGGGGAGACCTCGTACAGCCCGCAGCAGTGGCCCACAGTAGGTGCTTTGTGGCTGTGCGGGGATGGGGGCGGTTGGCCTGCCCCCTGCTGTGGGGTGCTGGCAGGAGCCCAGGACCATGCATACCAGTTTTGACACCCCCTTTCTCCAAATCCCTGAAACCACCCCCCCACCCCAGCAGGACTCTCGAAGTGCACTTCCTGGCAGGGTGCACTGTCCTGCTCCCACCTTAGTTTTCTGGGGAATGTCTCCCCAGGGGTACAGCCTTCCAGAGACCCCTCGGCTCATCTGCTCCTCCCTGAAGCCCCCGCCCCGCAGGGTATCCCAGCCTACCGTCCTTTGTCCCAGTGGGGACTGGAGGGCACAAAGCCCAGAACCTTCCCTGGGTGCCTTGGGCTGGCAGTGACCTATATGGGGTTGAGGGTCCAGGCCACCCCTCAACTCCCCACCACCCCTCCACGATTGGGCTGGACACACTGACGCCATCCCGGGAGGGGGGACTCCATTACTCATGCCGCTGTCAGTGGTGGTTTCTTAGGTGAGACTTAACAACCCTTGTGCTGCAGCCTGAGCTCATTTCTGCCTGACCCTCAGGGAGGAGCTAAAAGATGCCTTCACGGAAAAGCCTTCCCTCCCACCTTCGGCTGACTCGTTCGTGACACCAGGGGGTTGTCCCACGCTCTCTGAGTCAGTCTTCTCATCTGCCAAATGGGAAAGGATGTCACTGTCACCACGGACAGGATGTCACAGGGCACGTAAGAAGCAAAAATTCTCGGCCTGCCCAAAGATGTCACCATTAGGGCTCCCTTCACTGTTTCCTTTTTTACAAGAAAAATATGTGCATTTGAGGCTGTCACACGCCAAAAGTCAGCTCTCCTGTTGCTCCCAGACCCAGGCAAATTCAATCCTCTAGCTTTTCATATGACACACAGTATGAGAATAAATAACTACAGGAATGTCACACAAAGCAAGAACTACTAGAAAAAGGGAAGGAAGGAAGGAAGGAAGGAAGGGAGGGAGGGAGGGAGGAAGGGAGGGAGGGAGGGAAGAATCCTCACTAGAGAAGGGGTAACATAAACCTCTGGGAGAAGCAGCACAGAGAGGCTGTGTATGACCTCAGGCGAGCACTGGGACAAGCTGGGGGTCCAGGCAGAAAAAAGATCAGAAAAGGGAGCCAGAGAGACCCTGTCCCCCCTCCCCGCCCCCTGAGGCTGGAGCCTGGGTGGGGTCGCTGGGCACTGGGGGCAGGGGAGGGTCTGGGCTTGTGGTTAAAGGTGCTGCTTTTTCAGGGGTGCCTGCCTCCCCGTGTGGTCCGCCTAGATACACCCCAGAGGGCAGGAATGTCAGCTGAGGCGTACCACAGCCCCGCAGAGGCCCCCGGAAAATGACCTGGCTTGCAACATCTGACTCACACGTGCCAAGCCTTCGGAGCGCTAGGGCTCAGCTGGTTCAGGGTAGAATCCTCAGCTGACGATCTGTTTACCTCACGCTTTCCCCAGTCCGACCGTGTAGGTGGGGAAGGCCGGGCAGGGCCTGTGTCCCCAGTGGATGCTGCCGGGCCAGGCCCCCTGCCCTGTCGAGAGTGGCCCCGGCGGAGGGCGCGACCTGACCTACCTTGCTCTGTGGTGGAGGGCCTGGCTTGCTGCTGCTTGGAGGGGCGGCGGCAGGAGCGGACAGGAACATGCTTCGGAACAGCCTGCGCTTCAGGCTGCTCTCCGGGGTCTTGGGGCTGGGGCTGCCCTCCCCCCCCGGCCTGCCTGCAGCCGAGCCCACCAGGCAGGACTGTGGCCGGGCCTCCTCAGAGCCATGCCCGGCAGTCTTGGGCCCCCGTCTGCCTGCAGCCGTGGAGGCCGAGGTGCCGGTTGGGGAGCTCTGCAGGCAGTGCTGCGGGGCGCCCTGGAACTCGGTGGGGCCCAGGGACTGTGCCTTGGTGGCCAGCCCACTGGGCAGGACCCGCGGGCTCTGTGGCTCGGGCCATGGCACATGCCTGCGCCCTGCTGGTGCGGCCCCGTTGCAGCTGAGGTAGAGGCCATGGGGGTCCCTGTGCTCAGACTGGGGGCTCTGCAAGTACATGTCCGAGTTGGCGGCCCACTGCTCATCCCCTAGCAGCCCCAGGGACTGTGCCCGCCGCCGGCTGGTGGGGCTGCGGCCGCGCAGGGTGTTGGAGCTGATGACTGACAACTTCTGGATATCGTTGAGCAGCCCCGAGATGTAGCCGTCCATGGGCGCCGCGCTGCCCCGCACCACTGTCTGCAGGGGAGGGGGAAGAGCGTGGTGAGCCTCCTGTCATGGCAGGGAGGGGGCGCTGGGCGGGGACCAGGTCAGAGAGCCTCCCTGGGGGGCCTTGGGGAGGAGCACCATGGACCTGCCTTGCTGTGTCATCCGTCTATTCTTAATTTTTCAGCCCCTACCCAGGGCCCACGGTGGGCCAGGCCTGTGCTGGCGGACGGATACAGGGAGAAGCCTCATTTTCACCGGCCCACAGTCTAGCAGGGCAGACAGGTGAGTAGCCATGGCGTTCAATCCAGCGTGCCTGATGGTGCCGGCAGCTGAGCTTCGGGAGCTGGGGAGACTGCAGGCCCTGCCTGGGGCCCGCTGCCGTTCTCCAGCTCTGTGTGTGGCCTTCCAGGGGACATGCACCAGTCCAGGGCTCTCCTCCACACATAATGGCCTTGTGGCCTCCAAACCCTGACAGGGCCCTGACCCCAACCCCTATCAGGCTCTTGCATCAACCCCTCCTGACCCACACAACTTAATCCCCTGGGTCTGTGACAGCCCCCAGCCCCACAGGGGCTGCAGGTCCAAATTTTGCATGGGACATACTTAAAGGTTATTTGTTATCTGAAACTCACATTGTATTGGGCATCCTGTATTTTTATTTGCTAAATCTGGCAACCCTACCACCCTGTGGAGAGGGACTCCCCAGGATCCTCCTCCCTGGGTCACCCAGGGAGAGAACGAGAGGCTGATTAGCAGGGAGTGAAGACATCCTGGCTAACTGATAGCTGATAAATCAGGTGGTTCTTCAGGTGCCTGTGTGGTCTTGCCAGCAGCCCTCTGTGAAGGGGGATGGTCTGAATCCTCCCCCTCCGCCATCCCTGATGCCCGCCTCACCTTCATGGGCTGGAGCTGCACCCGGGTGATGCGTGAAGGGTCCACCACGGGCTTGGGTCGCCGCAGTGTGTCCAGGATGTTCTGCCATTGTGGGGGGAGGCCCACGAACTTGCCTTCTTTGGGGTCGAAGGAGGTGTGGACGCGGTGCTGGAAATTCTGTGGGGCCGAGATCTCAGGGCGTTTCTTTTTTTTCTTGCGGAACATGGTGCCTGCATGGGGAGGGTCAGACTGAGTTCCAGAGGGGGCTTCACAGGAGCCTGGCCCCGGGAAGGACAGGTGGCCGCAGTGGGTACTGGGGCCCCAGACTCCCTCCCCCACTTCAACCCCCTGCACCGGCCCACCTCTCAGGCCTACTCCCTCAGGGAAATGGCTAGCTCCCCGCAGAGCAGTCCCAGAAGCAGCAAAAGCCCCATAAATAAGCTAACACAGACTACAAAGGAGGAAAAGAGGTGTCTGTCTTCTCATCTGCGCTAAGTCCCCTGCTGAGGAGGCAGACCCGGGGGGTGTGTATTTATAAGATCCAAAGCCCATGACAAATAACATTCCACCGTCGAAGAATTAAAAGGGGGGTGGGGAAGAGGGAGGAAAGCTGGCAAACTCATTTTATGAAGTATGATCTTGATTCTTAAACCAGATCAGAATAGTACAAGGAAGGCCCCGGTGGCACAGTGGTTACGAATCTGCCTGCCAATGCAGGGGGACACGGGTTCGATCCCTGGCCCGGGAAGATCCCACATGCCGCGGAGCAACTAAGCCCGTGCGCCACAGCTACTGAGCCTGCGCTCTAGAGTCCGCAAGCAACAACTACTGAAGCCTGCGCACCTAGAGCCCGTGCTCTGCAACAAGAGAAACCGCTGCAATGAGAAGCCCGCGCACTGCAACAGAGTAGCCCCCGCTTGCAGCAACTAGAGAAAGCCCACGTGCAGCAACGAAGACCCAACGCAGCCAAAAATAAATAAATTAAAAAAAATAGTAAAAGGAAAGGAAAATTTGAACCAATTTCAATTCTGAACATAAATGAAAATCCTAAACAAAATTAGCAAATTGAATCCAATTGTTCGTTAAAGGGTTTTGTTTGTTTGTTTGTTTCTTTTATAACACAGTCAACTCGGGTTTGTCCCAGGATGGTTCAAAACCAAAAACTGCTAATGTGACATACAACTTCATAAAAAGTCAAGCTGCTGATTCAGAGACCTGTTGCCCCATCAGGGACCAAACTAAAAGGGCCCTTATGGTCCCCAGGTGCTCGGCCCTAATTCTGGAAAGGCCCTGAGCTAAGGGCACTGCTGGGGTGGGTGAGGGCAGCTATCTTAGGGGAAAAGCTCTCCAGGAAGAGAGAGCCCACCTCCCTCTGGGTCCCATTCTCTCTGGTCTCAGAACTCTGATTGTACAAAACATCACCTGCAGTCAAACCTCCATCCCTTGCCTTGCTGGTTTGGGTTTGCCTTAGGCCCTATTAAGCTCTAACAACAGCTCTGAGTGACACCGGCACGCAGATCTGAGAGAGGGAGACTGGAGACCCAGGAGGCAAAGTGACTCTTCCAAAGTGCTGCTCTGGCCTCACCTTCAGGGAGCCCTGGGCTGGGACCACATGGAAGACAGGGTTGGGGGTACCCACTAGAATGCTATTGTATTTGAAGTGGCTCAGAATAGCTCAGTGCATTTGTGTGGGGCGATGGGAGCTAAGGACACTCAGTGGGCTCTTGTGTCAGCTGGAAAAGTCACTTATAGGTTTGTTTCAACAAGACATGTGTGTTTCTTGAATTGAATGCTTGGATCACTCATCTATCTACAGAACTGGATAGATCTGTGCCATGGCACTCTCTTTTTTTTCCTGCTCCAGAGGGAGAATTTTCCTGGTCACATTCACAGGTTCTGGAGCAGGTCACAGATCTGGGAGGCAGCTGGTGCCACTCGGGAAGGCAGGGGGCTCAAACAGCCAAGTCTCTCCACTAGGCATCCACCAAGCATGAATCAATCTGAATCCATGTCATACCTCTTGGAATGGCAGCCACTTTTGGGGACCTTGAGGTTCAGGAAATCTACCAAACATTCCCACCAGGCAAAGCCACATGTGCAGGAGCCCCAAGGACCAAGGACTTTGGGATGAAATATAACTGTTTGAGTTACAGGTGAGTTGCAGGGAGTCTTCCACTAATTTGGGGAGACTTTGAGCGAGCTACCTTAATGATTTGAGCCTCAGTGTTTTCATCTATAGAATGGGGTTAATAAAAAATAATGCACAGAGTTTAGGGAGTGTTAAGTGAGCGAATTCCCAGGAAAAAGGGGCTGTTTCTCTTGCTATGTTACCTCTCCGTGCATCCTGTCTCTCAGCTCAGGTCCCTGCAGACATCAGAAGGTGAGCAGATCCAAGCCTGGGAGTGATGCCCAACTCCTGTCCTCTCGGAGCCACCTGGCAGTGGTCATTCCTGATTTCTTGTTCTGGGGCCCTCGTCACTGCTCCACGACATAGACTCTTCATGGCTTGGTAAAGCCTGACCTCCTCCCTGTTGTCTTTGGCTACAGAAGAGTCTCAGTTCTGCAATTCTGTCCTGACAGACCCTCTATCTCTGGATTAGCTCAGCTGATGGTTTCACTCTCCTCCCCACTCTGTAAACCCTTCTGGAGGTGTAGGGACACAGCCTAGAGTTGCAAAACAGGTGGCTAATACTTCCCTCTCTCCCCACCAGAACATCCCTGGCCCCAACTCCCTGGCCGCACCCAAAGGCCCAGCGTTTGCTGCAGGAATGCACGGGGAAAGCATCTTTTTTGTTTTTGTTTTTTTTTCGTTTTTTTGTTTTTGGCTGTACCGCAGCATGCGGGATCTTAGTTCCCCGACCAGGGATCAGTGGAACCCTCGCCCCCTGCAGTGGAAGCATGGAATCTTAACCATTGGACTGCCAGGGAAGTTCCTGCAAAGCATCTTTAGCAAATGGTCTACATGACTCTGGGATGCCCCTCCTGAGTCCACCCTAACAGCAATTCCAGAATAAGTTCTTCCCACAGGCAGCAGGAAGGGCCTGAGGAGAAAGAAGGACAGTGCAGAGTCCTAGGATCCAGGGGTTACAGGGGAGGTAGGGAGCTGACAGAAGCAATGAACTGAGCTCAGCCTTTGGGGGAGGGGGAGTAGAGATTTAGAAATCAGAGCCAGCCACTTAGCTAGCGGGAAATCCACACCTAAAGGGAGGCTGCCAGGACTTGCCCAAAACCATGGTGAGGCCAACACTGCCTGGGACAATATGACTGCGTACATAGAAGAATCTACATACAAACTTTGGGGATTAAGTGTGAATTTTAGAAGTCCCCAATTCAAGGTCAATATAAAAAAAAATTGTATTCTTGCATACCAGCAACAAACAAATAGAAAATGAAATTTACAAAAAGATGCTGTGGTACAATGGGAAATAGACGTTTGGTCTTTGTACACCCCACACCCTGCCCCCTATTCCTGGCACAGAGCTCTTAAACCTCTTGGAATCCCCAGAGTGACAAGAGTGTTGGAACTTTCAGCCTCCCCATTCCCACCTCTGGGGAGGGAAGAGGGGCTGGAGACTGAGTTAATCATCAATAACCAATGATTTAATCAATTGTGCCTACTTAATGAAACCTCCATAAAAACCCCTCAGAGAGAGGATTCAGGGCTGGTGCACGCCTCAAGGTCCTGAGAGGGCGACGCGTCTGGGGAGGGCATGGAAGCTCTGCACCCTTCCCCCATACCCTGCCCTAGGCGTTATGCATCTCTTCCATTTGGGTGTTCCTAAGTTGCATCTTAATGAACTGGTAATAGTAGAGTGCCTTCCTGACTTCCACCAGCCATCCTAGCAAATTATCAAATGTGAGGAAGGGGTCGTGGGAACCTCAATTATTAGCCAGCTGGTCAGAGGTACGGGGACCTGGGCCTTGGAACCTGAGTCCAAGGTGGGGGGCAGTTTGTGGGGCTGAGCCTGAGGAGTCTGTGCTAATCCAGGTAGTTAGTGTCAGAATCAAACTGAATTGTTGAACACCCGGTTGGTGTCAGAGAATTGGATAAATGATCTCAGGAGGAGAAAAACCCTCTCATTTGCTGTCAGAAGTGTTATTAGGGAAAAACCCCTCAGACATCCTTTCCCACTTTACATGAAAAATATCAGATACCTAGGAATAAATCGAATCAAAGATGCGCAAGGTCTCTACGTTGAAAAATATCAAACATTAAAGATGATAAAGAATGTTCATAGATTGGAAGCCTCAATATTATAAAGATATCAATTATTCCCTAATTAACCTACAGAGTTATGGCAATCAAAATCCCAGCATACTTCTTTTGGTAGAAATTGACAAACTGATTCCAAAATGTACAGAGAAACATAAAGAATCAGGAAGAGTCAAATCAATCTTGAAGAACAAAGTTGGAGGGTTACACTACTAGATATCAAGATTTATTATAAAGCAACCACAATTAATACAGTGTGAAATTGGCACAAAGACTGATGAGGAGGCCAGTGGAACAGAAGAGAATCTAGAAATAGACCCACTCGCGTAAGGTCACTTAATTTATGACAAGGTGACACTGCAGTATGGTAGGGAACAGATGATCTTTTCCATAAATGTAGGTGAAGCAATTAGATATCCATATGAGAAAAAAAAGGAGTCTGGAAAAATGAATTCATATCCTATCCCCAAACTAACTGGATCTAAATGTGAAAGGTAAAAATAATGAAGCTGGTGGGAGTGATGGTGGGGGGCAGGAGAGAGGGTAACCCCTGGTCTGGCCATCCCCTGCCCCAGGTCTGCTGTGAGTGACTGTGGTGAGCCCAAATTTGATGGGCTTTCCTGGAGCCCCTGACCTGCTGGGGCCCAAACCTATCCACACCCATGGGTCCCGAGGACAAATTAAACTATCAAGGTTTTCTTTGTCCAAAGCAGGCCTAGGTTAGGAGTAGGAAATTCTTTCTAAAGATTTCACCTAGACTAATTTGTAAATGCAGTATGAATATAATGAATATTTGAAGGAAATACAGCAACATATTCATTGTTGTTGTGTCTGACTGGTGGGGTTCCAGGTGACTTCCTCCTACCCCATCTTTCTACTCTTCTGAACTTTCCTTAAAGATGATGGGCTGCCTTTCTAAAGAAAACAAAATATTTTTAAAGAAAGAGAAGAGTGATCCACGAGCACTGAGTTTCCTAAGAGATACTCACCCGCTTAAGTATCCGATGTTGCCAGGTCACTGGGTGTCAATCACCTGAGACCCAAGCATCCCCTGCATCTCTCCAGCTCCATGTCCTGGACATACACACGAATGCCCAGAGAGGGGCCCTCACTTGCCATTCCTAGGTCTCCATCTTTCACCCAGTTTCCCGCCTTCTGACAAGCCCAAGGACCTCGGGGCTGAGGGAGAGGGGGTGCTGAGTCAGCCGTGAGGTTAAATCTAATCAGGCCATGCCCGCCTTTAAAACTGCCATCCGAGAAGCACCACCTCTTTGCATCCACACTCCACTCACCTAGTGAAAGAGCTTTCCCTAAAGAAGGTACTCTGGAGGAGGAAGGAGGATGCTGTTCCTTCAGAGAGCCAGTCCCTGCCTTTCCTTCTGCCTAGCCTGACAGAAATGATGTGGGCCATGGCCACTGAAGTAGAAATGGGCAAAGGCAGGGCGCCAGCTCTGGCTCAGGGGGACCTCCGCTTCCCGAGTCCCTTCAATGCAGTGGGGGGAGGTGCTGAGGAGTCTTTCTCAGGCTGGGATGCACCTTTACGACCGAGGAATGCTTTGAACATTCCTCTTCTGAGAATGGCCGAGGACATCACCTTCCAGCCAGCAGGCTGGCCCATGACTGGACCAGAGAAGGATGTCCATCACTGGGGAGGGGAGGGGAGGGGAGGGGAGAGCCCTGCCCCAACCAGCTTTAGAAGGAAGCCTCCCCCCCCACCCCCCCGCGGCACAGCTCCTGCTGAGGCTGCTTCCTCCAGCCAGAGCCTGGCAGATGGGGAGCAGGTCAGTTCCTGGCAGAGGCTTCTGGAGGAAATGCTGTCACACCCAGTAAAACTGAGGGTGGAGGTGGTGGGAGAGTTCAGGGAGCCACAGGGGTCACTGAGGGGTGGGACTATCATGTCAGAGGAGCAGGAGACTCCAGAGAGAAAGGGAAGTAACTTTTCTTGAGCTACATGCTACCTGCTAGGCCCTTTCCAAGCACCAACTAATTTAATCCTCACAACAAGCCTGGGAGGTAGGAGCTATTATTATTATCCACAAATCCAGATGAGGCTCAGGGAGGCTGAATAACTTACCCAGGGTCACAGAACCAGGAAATGACCGAGTTGGTTTAAACCCAGATCTGGTTCCAAAGCCCTGCTCCGTCCACCATGCCCACTCAGAGGGACTCGGGCTATTGTTAATCTCCTTCCCAGGGGTCTCTGTGAACAGGAAGGGGGCTGGGCAGTCTGTGTAGAAGGGGATGGGCCAGGGCCAGCTCCCTCAATCAAGATTACTAGGTTCTTTCCTGGGCTGATCTGTGAGTCATAGGCCAAGGGAGACTGGCGCTGTCTTGACTTGCAGTCTGACCCTTACTTTGTTTGGAACCAGGGCTTGTCTGTCTGTTTTTTTTGCCCTGCCGTGGTGGTGGTGGGGTGTTCTAAGGAGCTCGCCTTGGCAGCTGTGATGTCAGGGCCTGGCACACATGGAAAGAGCCGCAGAAACAGCAGGAGGGTATTTTCTCCAGCACAGGTCCACGTCCCCTCAGTAGGGTCTCAGCCTCAAGTCAGGCAACCGGCAGGCCTGTGCTAGTATCCCACCGTACCATGGGGTCTGGGTGGTGAGGGCCCCCAGACCAGGCACTGTGGCTCAGCTGGTCCAGGGTCTACAACAGGGACAGCAGATAGCTGTGCTGGGTGGGTCACCCCCTCAAACTGCTTTTCCTCTTGGGGAGGAGACATCCGTCCGCCAGGGCCTGGGGCTCCAGGGCCACCAAGCTGTTGGTTCCCCAGCCAGAACCATGGAGAAATGAGTCTGCACTTAAACCTCAAACCAGAGCACAGACTTTCCAGTGAGCACTGCCATTTGAGGCAGACCCTTGGAAGTGAAACCGCCTGTTATAGATGTGCTCCAGGACTTTCAGAAGTCCTCCTGGGAATCAATTTTGGGGCCCATCTTGGGCCAGCATCAAGTGTTTTCCTAACCTGTGGCCTCTGCTTTTCACCAGAAGAGCTGGTGTCCAACGAGGTTGCCTTGCCGCCTAGATCCGGCTTCCAGTGAGTTTTGGCTGTTCCCACACATCGAATTCCTTTCAAGGAAAGGACACTCAGCCCACTGAAGGGATTCACAAGAACGCCCTACAGGCTGGGAAGGTGGTTTCCAGACAGCAAGTCTGAAGGAGCTTGCAGCCACTCTGAGGGGAGGAGGATTTGGTCGGCTGTGTGAGTTCTGGGATGTAAACTGTCTGTTAGGATGAGGCTGGTGGGATTCCCCTCCATTTCCAGACGAGTGGGAAGAGAGAAGGCAGCTGCACCTGGGGCCCTGCTCCCTCTGAGGGCCAGAGAGTGAGAGTGGGGTGCATGCCTATGCCCCCCTTGAGGGAGGCACCGTCGGCTTGTCAGGGCTGAGTGCGGGCTCAGCGTGGACCTGGGGCGCGGCGTTCCTGAGTTCCGCTTGTGATCCTGGCCCACTCTTCCTTTCTAAGCCTCAGCGTTTCCGGGGCCAACAGGGGCATGGACTTATTCACTTCTGCCAGCGTCTCCAGGTACAGTGAGGAAAGAAACAGCATCTGTCCTAGTTGGAGGGGCTGTTTTGGGTATTTTTTGTAATTGTCACTCAGGGAGTGCCTAGTATAAGCACCAGGCTCTGGGCTGAGCATTTCACGCACAGAATCCTCGCTGCAAGCCGGGGAGGTGGGCCTATGACTGTACCCATTATGCAGATGAGAAAACCCCTGTTCAGAGAGATTAAGTGATTGGCCCAAGTGGAGCAGCAAAGAAGGGGAAGACCCCTGTTAGTCTGATCCAAATGTGAACAAGGCTGCAGTTAGCTGTCACCTTCCACCACCCCAGCCTGTCATTCTCAGACCCACGCAAGACGCTCTGTGACATCGAGATAGAGGTAAGCCCCTGAGTCCTAGAGCACTTACAAAGGTACCCCCACTACTGCCACCATCCAGTCACAGAGGGGCTGATGGAGGACCCTGCCACCTCCAGAGCTGGGCCCTTCCACCCCGAGGTCTGCTGCCCAACCTCTTCATAACGCCCTTTGGGAACTGACATCCCACACCTTTCCGTGAAAAGGAATGTGCCTCGAAGGCCCCTGGTTGAGAATATCCTGGACAGAAGCCAGTCTTTCATTGGAATATTCTCATCAGCCAGGAAGATCTTTCTCAAATTTTAGTTTCTGGAGTTAGTTTAAATATGAAATTATATTATTCATTCACTTATTTGATAAATTAATTTGCTGTGCATCTGCTCTGCTCCAGGCTCTGGGGACCATGGTGAACAAAACAGAATCCTTGCTCTCGTGCAGTTTAGCTGGCTTTTCCAAATAGACCCCAGACCCCATCCTGACCTGCACCACCCACCTGTGGGACTTACTGATGGGGTATGGCCTCCCCTTCGCCCCTGCCCAATTTTCAATTCCTCGGTGGCATTCCCGACAGGAGCTGGTCCACGCCCTTCTCACCTTGCTCCAATGAATTCAGTGATGGGGGGCTCCTCCCCCTTTCGGAGGCCCCTGCCCTCTGTCTCTCTGTCCCCTCACAGCTCATCCTTCATGTGGGGCTGAGCTCTGTCCTCCCTCAGCTTCCACCAGGGGTCCAGGCCTGCCATCTGCCCTCTTCACGTGACATGAGAGGTGGCACCCCAGCACTCTTCCTGTCCCCTAGAAATATACCAGGGGAAGGGCCTGAAGAGAATTTCATTTGCTCTTCTGCCCAGTTGTCCCCTGTAGGGTGGATGGGGCCTAGACCCAGGCTGTGGCCCTTACTGCCACTGCCCACAGGCACTATTTAAGACCTTCCCAGGGCCGCTGTGTGGAAGTGTGGAGCATCCCCGGGATGTAGAGCAGTACCCTGAGGTCCTTCTGACGCACTCGAGTGGCCCAGAGAGAAGCTGAGTGTGCAGGGCCGGGGGCACTGTGCACAGAACACGCCAAAATGTCCGGGCTCCCCACCCTTGTTGTCATTCCCACACTACAGGTCCCAGTGAATCCCCAGGGGAAAGATAATGGGGCTGTTGTTGAAAAGAATATGATAATAAGTCTCATTCAATCACTTGTGTCAACACTCCAGCTGAATGAGAGGCCGAAGAGCTAGGCTGGCCAGCCAGGGAAGGTCAATGTTGACTCAGGCCTGCCTTTTGGGCCCAGCTCCAGCCTGCAAGTGCTGTGCTGCCGCCGCCCGGCAGCGGCTCAAGCCAGAGCAGCCCTCTGACCTCTGTTCACTGTACTTGGAATCCTAACCGCTTCCCCAGTCCGCAGCACTGGGGTTTCCTGGGCATGGCATAATCTCCAAGGGAGGAGTGAAGACTGGGAGAGCTGCAGGCCAGCCACCTCTTCACTACCCCAGATTTTCATTTTTTTTTTCTTTTTTTTTGCGGTACGCGGGCCTCTCACTGTTGTGGCCTCTCCCATTGCAGAGCAGAGGCTCTGGACGCGCAGGCTCAGCGGCCATGGCTCACAGGCCCAGCCGCTCCGCGGCATGTGGGATCTTCCCGGACCGGGGCACGAACCCGCGTACCCTGCATCGGCAGGTGGACTCCCAACCACTGCGCCACCAGGGAAGCCTACCCCAGATTTTCAACAGCTTCCACATATAGAGGCTCGAGACCTCATCACAGAGCCCTCAGTGCCTAGCCAGAAAGAATCTCCAGAGTCCCCAAGTCACAGGATTAAGTCCCCTAGTCACAAAAAGATTATGTTTTCACAGCCCTTAACCTTCTGTATCACTATATTGTTCCCCTCCTCACTCCAAGTTCACAATACTGCAGTGACATGGGCCAAACCTGTTTTACTGGGTGCGTTTTAAGAATGGCAAGTGACTGGGGAGAGGAAGGAGGAGCTGAGAAAGGGAAGCTACACATACACGTGTATAAAGTGCCTCGCATGTGTCAGACACTGTACTAGGCGCTTTTCATTACTGCATTTAATGGTCACGACTCTACGAGGTAGGTTTTATGAGCTTAATTTTACAGGTGAAGAAACTGAGGCTGAGAGAGAAG